CAGTATACTGACAAAGCTTGTGACATTGTACATGTTTAATATTCCTTCTGGACAGGTAGTGACAGACATTCCTCCCTGTCTCTCTGATACACTGTTTATCTAAAAGCTACAAAAGAAGTGCTTGTTTGGGAAATTACATTGTTGAAAATGAATAGTTTTCATTTGTCAGCTGTGATTTTATGTGACTAAGTGAAGCAACTTAAATGCACTGCCAGCAAACATTATCCATCTTTAGATTGAAAGGTGTACATCTAAAGCTTGATAGTGTTTCCATTTAGGACTTGAAGCAGAAAAGCTCAAATCCTGTGGATTTAGCAGACAAATATTGTGAACTTTATTTCTGTGGCAAAGCTGTTTTTGGGTTTTTGTCAAAGCCCACAGCACTTGTGCAGTGTCATGAAGCCTGAGAGAAGGCAGATCATTAGCCCTTGAGACTTATGGTCTAGCAGCTTGTCCAGTCAAGAGCTGTTTGGGATGAAGTTTCCTACACAGAACTTGGAGGGGGGAGTGGAGGAGAGGGGTCAGAAACAAACACTGAGGTATGTTTTATATTTTCTTAAGCTTTGGCCTTAGCTGCTGGTGCCTCTTTACAGGGTACCACACTCTGCTGAGGACTCAAAAACTATGCAGACAGAACAGTAGAAGCCATGATAGGAAAGATTCACTGTTGCAGGTTAACTTGTGATTTATAAGGCAAAGCTGAAAGAGCAAAAAGGTTTGGTCAGATCAAGGGAAAGATTAGCTCCAAACCACTCTGTGATGAGTCATGACTGACATTAAATACCAGATATCTCTGTTCCCCACACCCACACTCTTCCTCTCTCAATATGCCATTTTGAGCTGTGGCAATCTAATCCCTGATATACTTTCAGACATCATTCTGCTGTGCCTCACTGTTGATCTGTTTTGGTATGTTTGGTACAGCAGTAATTTTATTTTGTTTGGGTTTTTTTGACACAGGAAACGGAAGGCTGGATTCTACCCCTTTTAAAGTCAAAGCAGCAGTTCTACATTCAGATATCTTTCTTCAGCCTAGTCTCCAGGTCTTGGAATCTAATGCATTGTAAATCAAATCCATTGCTTCCCTCCCTCCCCCAGCTTCCTTGTTTTGTATTTTATTTTGTGATACAATTTTACTATACCTTTCAATTTTTAAAGAAATCCTCTGTATTTTCATTTACGAAAGTATTATCAAATATATGCTGCTACACACACACCATACACGTACAAATGTAAAGATTCCTACTGTCCGCTGAGGAAGTGGTTGGGTACAGTGAAGTCCCTCCCATTTCTTACATAGCATAAGCTAATTAAACCATACTATACTGCCAAACATGATTAAACAAAATGTGGAAATTCTATTTACCACCTGCCAAAGCATACTGCTGTCCAGCAACTCAACAGTAAAGAATAGTTACACAAGGCTAAGTGAGCCACTAAACTTTGCATTAGGCCTGTTTCTGAGCTCGTGATGATGTAAATTAGAAGTCCATGTGATAAAGTCCATGTTGTAACTGCAGTTTCTGGTGGACATAGGAAGGAGATTCTGTATCTTTTATTATGTAGCATTAACATAATTGGAGAGTGACTTAAAGTAAGGCATTGATGTGAATTTTACCTGAGATTTATTGTCAAAATAGTAAAAAATGTAAAAGTGACGAGAGACTATCGTGTCATTCAGAGAAAGATGCACCAAGTCTATCCAACAAGAACCTCTGAGGTTTTGTGGCTTACGGGCAACTCAGGTGTAGTTCTAAAGCTGGATAATTCAGGATTCAGAAGTGGGAAGGAAGTGGACCGCTGAAACTTGTGCTTCCTTAAGTCACGCTCTTATTAATTCGATGTTAAGACTTACCTGTGGTTAAGCAGGGTGGTGGAAGTACAAGGTGGAAATCACATGCATTTTTTGAGGTCACATGTTTGGTAATTACCATCAGTTAGCAAAAAATCTGATCTCTGAAAGAAGATGTGACAGTGAGAACCTGAAAGTCAATTATCAGAAGTTCCATTTTTCCCAGTAATAACAGAAAAGCATGTCTTGCAGTCAGCACTGGGAAAGAAGAATTAAATTTTACTTTCTGTAGCATTCCTG